ACAATGACCCAAACATTCTAACAGGAATCCCGCCCCATAATCGAGAGTGACACAAGAACTTGGTCAAGGGAGAGGCCAACTGAAAGCCGATGATGATGATTAGGGGGGTGGAAGGGTGAGTGACTGAGGGGGGGTTGGAAGGACGCAGGAGGGGGGACAGAATGATGAGGAAGGGAAGGTGGGGGGGGGGGTGGAAGAGCGGGAGGGGGGAGGCCGAACATCAATTAGCAACAGCCATTACTGAACAAGTGGCCCACGGAGGTTGGGCTCTGGTGTAAGCGCCCAGGGGAGACGGCCATGGTAAGACCAGCAGAGGGAAGGGGGGAGGCAGGGGGCGTCAAGGCGCGTCAGGGGAAGGGGGGGGGGAACACGCTAAAGGAATACTAGACGGGCGGAGGAATTGGATAAGAATGAGACGCGAAATGATATGAAGGCGAAGACAATGATTATTACATGATAAAGGAGTGGAAGCGAGTGGGCCTGGGATAGGGAAATGGGGGAATGAGGGTCGAGGTAAGAAACGGGAATGGGGGGGAGGGTAGGGACGAGAAGGGGGGTAGGGGTGGCTGAGACACTAACGGAGGGAGAAGAGAACTGAGAGATGGTGAGACTTAGAAAAGGGGGTGGGGGTGGGGGGAGAGAACTGGGGGTGAGGTGGAGAGGCTTAGCGAGAGGGATACCAGCCGGCCAGAGAAGACCACGGGATGATCCCTGGATAGTATCGTCCGGGAGGATCAGGGGTGGTGCATGGCCCTAATGGATGGTAGGGCTAGAGGAGAGAGGCTACAAGATGTGGATAGTGGCCGCCGACCGCCGGACACAAAATGGGATAGTACAAACTGCACGTTGGAAGATGGTCTGAAATCAATCCCACTTCATACTCTCGTGAAGCACCCGTAAGTGTGCTGCCACACACCATACAAGTCAATACTCAACCGTGACAATCAACTCTCACCCAGTTGAAAATGTGGCGCGTCCCTCCCTAGCGTCCACGTGGTGCGAGGGTGAGGGAGGAGGGTAGGGTGGCCAGGGAGGAGGGTAGGGTGGCCAGGGAGGGGAGTGAGGGGGACATGATCAGGGGGTAAGTTTAAACGACGCGTGACGAGCTTAGGAATCACGCAGTAGCGTGGAAATGATGAAAGGGGGGAATAGGGGAGACGATAACAATGAATGAGGCGTGTCATCATATTAAATATACTAGGTAGCTAATAGCATCGTGGCCCTCACGTCACTATACACACACAAGCAGTAATGTTATCACCAAACCTGAAGGCACCACACATACACACACAAGCAGTAATGTTATCACCAAGCCTGAAGGCACCACACATACACACACAAGCAGTAATGTTATCACCAAACCTGAAGGCACCACACATACACACACAAGCAGTAATGTTATCACCAAGCCTGAAGGCACCACACATACACACACAAGCAGTAATGTTATCACCAAGCCTGAAGGCACCACACATACACACACAAGCAGTAATGTTATCACCAAGCCTGAAGGCACCACACATACACACACAAGCAGTAATGTTATCACCAAGCCTGAAGGCACCACACATACACACACAAGCAGTAATGTTATCACCAAGCCTGAAGGCACCACACATACACACACAAGCAGTAATGTTATCACCAAGCCTGAAGGCACCACACATACACACACAAGCAGTAATGTTATCACCAAGCCTGAAGTCACCACACATACACACACAAGCAGTAATGTTATCACCAAGCCTGAAGCACCACACATACACACACAAGCAGTAATGTTATCACCAAGCCTGAAGGCACCACACATACACACACAAGCAGTAATGTTATCACCAAGCCTGAAGGCACCACACATACACAAACAATTACTCTACAATCACCGGAAGCATATAACCAATTACCTGACCTGACCTGTCCAGGGCAGTGAGGTCAACAAAGCCTTAGGTACCGGCTACAGGTCAAACCAGGTACGTTAACCACCCTTCCCTCCCCCTTCTCTAACACTAGTCACCCTCGAAATGGTTCCAGGACCACAAATATATTCTACTAACCGAAGCTGTGGTAATCGTAGCTGACGGCAACCCGTTCTCGCAAATTCGTAAAGTCAATATTGACTTATTAACTACGTGCATAGGTGATATACTAAACATAATAGATACCCTTAAAAAGATTCATTGCAAACACCGACCTTACCTAACCTTGTTAGTATCTTAAGATAAGCATCTTATTGCTTCGTAATTATAATTATTACTTAACCTATACCTATTATAGGTTAGGTAACAATTGTAATTACGAAGCAATAAGATGCTTATCTTAACATACTAAGTAGGTTAGGTAAGGTCGGTGTTTTCTATGAAGCTTTTCAAGGGAAACTATTGTGTTAAGTATGTCACCTATGCACATATTTAATAAGTCAATATTGACTTATTAAATTTGCGAGAACGGGTTGCTGACGGGCCGTGTAGGTGTTGCCGTCAGCATGTGTGGGGTCACCGTAGCTGACACAGCTAGGTTACATGTTAGTTCTTCCTATTGGGGAGTGTTGTACATTCTGCTATGGCGGTATGTTCACTCACAAGATGAGTGGCGCTCCCCAATAAACTCGCCCCTCGGGGCAAAATTTAAATGTTAGCCTCACCCGTAGGCGTAGCCTCCCAGCTGGCCTAACCAACCCTTCACCCCCGCTGGCCTCATCCCCTCCAACACTGGTGAAGCAATGGAGGGCTTCAAGTGTGGGGTTATTAGGGTGCCTTAGGGTGCCTGAGGGCTCCCTCCCTCACAAGTGCCTCCTCCCTCCCACCCACACACACCCACACCACAACACCCAACACACCTTAAACACCTGCTGGCCGAGCACCTACATCACCCACCTGCAGGACCCCACCACCAGGAACCAACTACAGGAGCCTTTAAAGGGGCCACCTAAATACAGTAGTCCTCGAGAGGATAACCAAAATACAATAGCCACTTCAATACAATACGATAGAATATACTGCATATATTAGCCCCTGAAGGACACACCTACAGGACCCCTGAGGGACACACCTACAGGACCCCTGAGGGACACACCTACAGGACCCCTGAGGGACACACCTACAGGACCCCTGAGGGACACACCTACAGGACCCCTGAGGGACACACCTACAGGACCCCTGCGGGACACACCTACAGGACCCCTGAGGGACACACCTACAGGGACCCTGAGGGACACACCTACAGGACCCCTGAGGGACACACCTACAGGACCCTGAGGGACACACCTACAGGACCCCTGAGGGACACACCTACAGGACCCCTGAGGGACACACCTACAGGACACTGAGGGACACACCTACAGGACCCCTGAAGGACACACCTACAGGACCCCTGCGGGACACACCTACAGGACCCCTGAGGGACACACCTACAGGACCCCTGAGGGACACACCTACAGGACCCCTGAGGGACACACCTACAGGACCCCTGAGGGACACACCTACAGGACCCCTGAGGGACACACCTACAGGACCCCTGAGGGACACACCTACAGGACCCCTGAGGGACACACCTACAGGACCCCTGAGGGACACACCTACAGGACCCCTGCGGGACACACCTACAGGACCCCTGCGGGACACACCTACAGGACCCCCGAGGGACACACCTACAGGACCCCCGAGGGACACACCTACAGGACCCCTGAGGGACACACCTACAGGACCCTGAAGGACACACCTACAGGACCCCTGAGGGACACCTACAGGACCCCTGAGGGACACACCTACAGGACCCCTGAGGGACACACCTACAGGACCCCTGAGGGACACACCTACAGGACCCCTGAAGGACACACCTACAGGACCCCTGAGGGACACACCTACAGGACCCCTGCGGGACACACCTACAGGGACCCTGAGGGACACACCCACTGGGACCCTGAGGGACACACCCACTGGGACCCTGAGGGACACACCTACAGGGACCCTGAGGGACACACCTACAGGGACCCTGAGGGACACACCTACAGGGACCCTGAGGGACACACCTACAGGGACCCTGAGGGACACACCTACAGGGACCCTGAGGGACACACCTACAGGACCCTGAAGGACCCTGAAGCACACATCAGGCCCCTGAAGGACCCACCAGGACCCTCCTACAGGACCCTGAAGCACACACCAGGACCCTGAAGCACACACCAGGACCCTGAAGCACACACCAGGACCCTGAAGCACCCACCAGGACCCTGAAGCACACACCAGGACCCTGAAGCACACACCAGGACCCTGAAGCACACACCAGGACCCACCAGGACCCACCAGGACCCTGAAGCACACCAGGACCCTGAAGGACCCACCAGGGCCCTCCTACAGGACCCTGAAGCACACACCAGGACCCTGAAGGACCCACCAGGACCCAGGACCCTCCTACAGGACCCTGAAGGACCCACCAGGGCCCTCCTACAGGACCCTGAGGGACCCACCAGGACCCTGAAGGACCCACCAGGGCCCTCCTACAGGACCCTGAGGGACACACCAGGACCCTGAAGGACCCACCAGGGCCCAGGACACACCAGGGCCCAGGACACACCAGGGCCCTGAAGGACCCACCAGGGCCCTCCTACAGGACCCTGAAGCACACACCAGGGCCCTGAGGGACCCACCTACAGGGCCCTGAAGGACCCACCAGGGCCCAGGACCCAGAAGGACCCACCAGGGCCCAGAAGGACCCACCAGGGCCCTCCTACAGGACCCTGAGGGACCCACCAGGGCCCTGAAGGACCCACCAGGACCCTGAAGGACCCACCAGGGCCCTGAAGGACCCACCAGGACCCTGAAAGACCCACCAGGACCCTGAAGGACCCACCAGGACCCTGAAGGACCCACCAGGACCCTGAAGGACCCACCAGGACCCTGAAGGACCCACCAGGGCACTCCTACAGGACCCTGAGGGACACATATACACGCACACATGTATACCTAGCCTACAAGAGGGGACACACAGAGAGGGATACATACAGCTCCTGGAGGCCTCGGGGCGGGATACATGTCTGCAGCGTGGTGGCCAGGGCCGAGCCTAGGGCGTGGGGCCAGGAGCGGGCCAGGGCAGGCCTAGGGCAGGCCCAGGGCAGGCCCAGGGCAGGCCTAGGGAGCAGGAGGCTGCTATAAGAGAGGAGCCCGGGGAGGGTAGAGCAACATGGCCGCCGCCGCCACCATCACTACCACAGTTCTCACCATACACTTCACCACTACACACACTCGCCACACTCACTACACGCCTCCGCCTGATCACCCACTTGCTATATATATGATTTTTCTAATAAATTCACTTCCATAAATGCGGGAAATATTCACAAATCGTGGCCGGAGCGGCCGAGAACCATTGTTCAACTCGGAGCTTCAAATCCTGTAATGGCGTGCTGCAGCCACCGGAATAACTCCCGCCTATTGGCTCCCCTGCCAGCCAATCCCCGCGCGGTATTCCCCCGCGAGGCCCCGCCCCCAAAACAAAGCAGCGTCGGGGTCCACGTGGAGTGTGAGAGAGGGAGGGGGTAGTGGGGGGGGGGTCGTGCAAAGTGTATTGATTACCGTACTTTTGGAGGGTCGCGGAGGTTATGTTATATGTGGGAGGGAGAGGCAGCGGCCACAGGTAATGCCTCACGCCGCTAACTTGATGAGCGGCAGTGACAATGGGGGGGGGGGGACACGCTGGGAGGCAGGGAACAGGGATAAAGACAGCAGCAGCAGCAGCAGCAGCAGCACATGAAGCTGTCTGCGGCGGGGCCCAGCTTGAGGTTGTCAAGTGTAAACACGACTAAATCAGGGAAAAGAGCTCCAGCAGAAAGCGGCGTGTTTATACTCCTGTTGTTGGTCTCTCCCCCCTCCCCCGGCCTTACACGCACAGTATGTACACACACGCACACACACGCACACACACGCACACTCACACGGGGGAGCCGGTGGCTGAGCGGACAGAACACGGGACGCGTGATCCTGTGGTCCGGGGTTCGATTCCCGGCGCCGGCGAGAAACAATGGGCAGATATTCTTTCACCCTGATGCTTCTATTACCTAGCAGTAAATAGGTACCTGGGAGTTAGACAGCTGTTACGGACTGCTTCCTGCGGGTGTGTACCAAAAAATAGTTATTAGCAGTTGATTGATTGACATTTGAGAGGCGGGCCGAAAGATCAGAGCTCAACCCCCGCAAACACAACTAGGTCAATACACACACACATTAAATATATATATATATATATATATATATATATATATATATATATATATATATATATATATATATATATATATATATATATGTCGTACCTAGTAGCCAGAACTCACTTCTCAGCCTACTATTCAAGGCCCGATTTGCCTAATAAGCCAAGTTTTCATGAATTAATTGTTTTTCGACTACCTAACCTACCTAACCTAACCTAACCTAACTTTTTCGGCTACCTAACCAAACCTAACCTATAAAGATAGGTTAGGTTAGGTTAGGTAGGGTTGGTTAGGTTCGGTCATATATCTACGTTAATTTTAACTCCAATAAAAAAAATTGACTTCATACATAATGAAATGGGTAGCTTTATCATTTCATAAGAAAAAAATTAGAGAAAATATATTAATTCAGGAAAACTTGGCTTATTAGGCAAATCGGGCCTTGAATAGTAGGCCAAAAAGTGAGTTCTGGCTACTAGGTACGACATATATATATATATATATATATATATATATATATATATATATATATATATATATATATATATATATATATATATATATATATATATATATATATTTAAGATGAATAGGAAAACCAGGGATATACTGAACATCTTGTATCAGAATCTTTACTTTAAAAAACATAACGTTTCGAATACTTCTCGTATTCATCATCAGATCTAAAAGAAAAAACAGAAATCACAATCAAATAGCTGGTAAACAAAGAACTCATACTGAATATTTACCTTTGTTTATCAGCTATTTGATTGTGATTTCTGTTTTTTCTTTTAGATCTGATGATGAATACGAGAAGTATTCGAAACGTTATGTTTTTTAAAGTAAAGATTCTGATACAAGATGTTCAGTATATCCCTGGTTTTCCTATTCATCTTAAAATTAAGCGGTCCGTCTAATTACCAAAAACTACCACATACTACACACGCTTCAGAAAACTTCCTGGCAATACGTTAGTAATGAATAAATATGATATATTTACTCATTACAATGTTGGTGCTGAACATACAACATGAAAAAACATAATTTTAATCCGAAAAAGTATCTTTTTATAAAGAAATTAGACGAAAATAAAAAGCTGGTGACGCCAAATCAAGTCGACGATCCAAGCTTCGGTTAGGTTAGGTTTGGTTAAGTTAGGTTAGGTTAGGTTAGGTTAGGATAGGTTAGGATAGGTTAGGTTAGGTTAGGTTAGGTCAGCCTAACTTAATATATCATATTTATTCATTACTAACGTATTGCCAGGAAGTTTTCTGAAGCGTGTGTAGTATGTGGTAGTTTTTGGTAATTAGACGGACCCAAATTAAGATTCCCGAAGGGAACAGCGATCATATATATATATATATATATATATATATATATATATATATATATATATATATATATATATATATATATATATATATATATATATATATATATACCCAGGATACAGCACGCATTTCCCCTCTGAACTGCGACACTGAGGCGCTGGAACAGTGGCCGCTCTTGAGTCTACAGTTTGCCTAAAGAGTTCCTCGCCCACCTCCTTCAGGAACTTAAGTGCACATTTCCCCCAGGCGTCCAGAGTCTCAGAGCCTATCACCACGAACCTGTGACGATGTTCTTGGTCCCTGTTGGTGTGCTGGGTCCCTGGAGGTGGCCGCCCCGCCTCCCTCACCTGTGCTGTGAGGTAGGTAGTATTACCTGGTGTTGACCCACATGTGTAGTACCACACCACCTGTTGACACCTGTGTCACCACTCTCACTATCATTACCACCACTCTCACTATCGCCACCACCACTCTCACTATCATTACCACCACTCTCACTATCACCACCACCACTCTCACTATCATTACCACCACTCTCACTATCATTACCACCACTGTCACCACTCTCACTATCATTACCACCACTGTCACCACTCTCACTATCATTACCACCACTGTCACCACTCTCACTATCATTACCACCACTGTCACCACTCTCACTATCATTACCACCACTGTCACCACTCTCACTATCATTACCACTCTCACTATCACCACCACCACTGTCACCACTCTCACTATCACCACCACCACTGTCACCACTCTCACTATCACCACCACCACTGTCACCACTCTCACTATCACCACCATCACTGTCACCACTCTCACTATCACCACGCTCACTATCATTACCACCACTGTTACCACTCTCACTATCACCACCACCATTGTCACCACTCTCACTATCACCACCACCACCACCGTCGCCGCTCTCACTATCATTACCACCACCGTCACCATCATTACCACCACTGTCACTATCATTAACACCACTGTCACCACTCTCACTATCATTACCACCACTGTTACCACTCTCACTATCATTACCACCACTGTCACTATCATTAACACCACTGTCACCACGCTCACTATCATTACCACCACTGTTACCACTCTCACTATCATTACCACCACTGTCACCATCATTACCACCACTGTCACTATCATTAACACCACTGTCACCACTCTCACTATCATTACCACCTCTGTTACCACTCTCACTATCATTACCACCACTGTCACTATCACCACCACTGTTACCACTCTCACTATCACCACCACCACCACTGTTACCACTCTCACTATCATTACCACCACTGTCACTATCATTTCCACCACTGTCACTATCATTACCACCACTGTCACCACTCTCACTATCACCACCACCACTGTCACCATCATTACCACCACTGTCACTGTCACCACTCTCACTATCACCACCACCACTGTCACTATCATTACCACCACTGTCACCACTCTCACCATCATTACCACCACTCTCACTATCACCACCACCACTGTCACTATCATTACCACCACTGTCACCACTCTCACCATCATTACCACCACTCTCACTATCACCACCACCACTGTCACTATCACCACCACCACTGTCACCACTCTCACCATCATTACCACCACTCTCACTATCACCACCACCACTGTCACTATCATTACCACCACTGTCACCACTCTCACCATCATTACCACCACTGTCACTATCATTACCACCACTATCACCACCACCACTGTCACTATCATTACCACCACTATCACCACTGTCACTATCATTACCACCACTCTCACTATCATTACCACCACCGTCACCACTCTCACTATCATTACCACCACTGTTACCACTCTCACTATCATTACCACCACTGTCACTATCATTACCACCACTGTCACCACTCTCACTATCACCACCAACACTGTCACTATCATTACCACCACTGTCACCACCACTGTCACCACTCTCACTATCATTACCACCACTGTCACCACTCTCACTCTCATTACCACCACTGTCACCATGCTCACTATCACCACCACTACTGTCACCACTCTCACTATCATTACCACCACTGTCACCACTCACTATCACCACCACCACTGTCACCACTCTCACTATCACCACCACTGTCACCACTCTCACTATCATTACCACCACTGTCACCACTCACTATCACCACCACCACTGTCACCACTCTCACTATCACCACCACTGTCACCACTCTCACTATCACCACTCTCACTATCACCACTCTCACTATCACCACTCTCACTATCACCATTCACTATCACCACCACTGTTACCACTCACTATCACCACCACCACCACTGTCACTGCTCACGATCATTACCACCACTGTCACCATTCACTATCACCACCACCACTGTCACCACTCACTATCACCACAACCACTGTCACCGCTCACTATCATTACCACCACTCTCACTATCACCACTCTCACTATCACCACTCTCACTATCACCACCACTCACTATCACCACCACCACTGTCACCACTCACTATCACCACCACCACTGTCACCACTCACTATCACCACCACCACTGTCACCACTCACTATCACCACCACCACTGTCACCACTCTCACTATCACCACCACCACTGTCACCATTCTCACTGTCACCACTCACCACCACCACTGTCACAACTCACTATCACCACTCTCACTATCATTACCACCATAACTATTATCACTATCACCAGCATCACTATTAATATCATCACTATTATTATCACCATCATTATCAATATCATCGCCATCACAACTATTATTTTTACCATCACCACTACTAATATCACTATTACTATCTCCATCACCACTATCACGAACCTTATCACTATCACTCACAATCACCAACCTCATCACTATCATCAA